GAATAGTACTTTGAAGTATTTCAGAATATACAATATACTTCATTTGATGTTTCATCCAGGACTGCAATATACCACGCCAGAGTAAAACAAGATTGTGTTTGGCAAGAAATGCCTGTATTTCAATTTGTTCTTAAAGTGACTTTTCTGCCCCAAAAGGGGCTCTCAGCTCTGCAGAAGTTAAACATCTCAAGGTGGAACTGTGTGGCTTACAACTGAATTCACATCATGCACCTAATCACCTAACAGTAACCCAAGAAAACTAGGAAAAGGTTTTTCTCTTGGTGGACTAGGAGACACAGTTACAGGACCTAATAACGTCAAAAGTTTCCTCCTCTGCCCAGCTGCCAATTGAATAAATGCTTTCAATGCCAGTATCTACCCAAAAGAATCCATGGACGCAACTCCTACATCAGAAACCAGTGGGAGACCATGTCAGCCTCCCCAGTCAATCCCCAGTTGACTTGAAACGACCATTCTTGAAGGAAGGAGCATCGAATGAGAATCCAGTGCAAAACCACAATGCCAGGTTAAGACAACCTGGAGAAACCACGATAAAGCATGGGAACCAGAGAACAGACTGTTGTTCCTTACCATGGTTTCTACAACCCAAATGCACCACGCTGAAATGCCACAACAGGGTTTGGCCAACACAACAGACCATCCCGCACAAGAAACTACCATGGGTTGTCCTGTCATGCAAACCTGCCCAATGTGCAGCTATCCCATAATAGGTTAGGGGACAGTGGTATCTTCTGGCCAAGTAGGCAGTATTCAGATGGCTATGGGATTTTTCAGAGATCCCACTATGAGGTGGGAAGACGCTCTGGTTCTGTAGCTGCTCTCCAAGCTCAGCTGTCCTCAACCCTGCTCGGAAAAATTGGGGAAGAAGCTGAGCTTGAGGGTTGGGAAGAGAAGGAGATGGCAAGATGTGCCCTGACAGCTTCTTCACCTCTGCACTCTCACTGCCATATGTAGGATGCCTGCAGTCCTCCACGTTAGGTGGGATATGGGAACCCAGTTGTGACTGTACCATCGGTCTTTCCATTGCTGCCACACTCTGTTGCTTTTTAATTTGGAAGGGATTTCTCATTTGGAAGAGCCACCTAAACCGGAAGAGCTCCAGTGCTCCCGATGTGCAAGGAAGCCCTTTCCCCCTGCATTCTCCTTTCCTGCCCTGTCTCCTTTCCGCCATCCTTGCCCTCAATGAGACAGCAGCTCCATCTGCCACGCAGACAATTGCCTGCTTCCGTCGGAGCTACGAGGGCCCGAGGATGCCTGGAGCAATATGTGAACTGACTTAAAATATTTGCACATTTAATATCTCTCCCCCGTAAATCTTTATTCTATTAGCAGCCCCGGCTTCCTGATAGAAAGCGTTTGCACAAGGACTGAAAAATTAACTGTTGAGCACAAAGGCGCCACTAGACTTGGGCACGTGAAGAGAATCCCCACTGACTCCTCAAAAACACAAGCCGGAAAGTGCATCACCGCATACTCATTTCAGGGGAGACTCCTCGCAAGCATGCGTGTGTAGTTTACAGACAAAACAACCACACAACAGCAAGTCCAGATTCTAGCCCGCCTCACCCCAACCTCCCTGGCGGCTTGTAAATTGAAAATGACACTAAATCAACTAAAAAACAGAACTTGTACTAAAAACTTTAGCTCCTTTGGAGCTTAAACCATGAAGGTTCAATCCTCATGAGGCAGAATCAGGAGACTGACAGAACCACAGAGCTGCACTCTGGAAAAGGTTTGGCATCACTGTCTGTCCACATTCCTCCAATATTAGCTTCCGGGTCACGTCTCACATGCCGGGGGTCCTGGAGGAGTCTTGCTGTTATAGCACACGACCTTGTGCTTTCTTGCCGCACGAAATGCCAGAGGCCTCGCCTCACATGCACCGTGCTGGTGTGTGCAGCCCATGACGGAAGACGAGTGCAATCCAGAACGCATCTTCCAGGAAGGCCACGCACCTTGCTGAGGAGGTGGAGTGGCAAGCAGCAGGAAAGGACTATTGCCTTCAGGTCCGGCTGATTAACTTCCCTATTTGTACGCTACTGGCGACGTCAAGCTGGGCTCCAGAATTGTTGCAGCGCAGCTCTTCTTGGCCCTTTCATGTTTCAGACCCCCAGTACTATTCCACGGAGGCTGTTTACACAGAAAGGTGCGTGCTTCTCTCTCTCTCTCTACAAGTGATGGAAAGCGCTGAGGTTCCAGGAGGTCTAACTGAGAGACCAGCTCTGCTGCAAGGCCTCCAGTCCTTAGCAACAGTCATTCCACCTCTTTCATCGCCTCCCCCCATAGTGGTCATTATGGGTACCCTGAACGGCTGGTCCCTGCTTTTCTCCTCCTCTTTCCCTATCCCTTTAACCCTTCATATCGTGCTTTTTAGAGCAGTAAATGTCTTGCTTCTTTATTGATCTGCAAGCCATGCTGGAAGCCTTGACATCTGGAGAGCTTTGGATACATAAATACAACTACCATCACACGTTCTCTGGTCTGGGGAATAGCTCTTATGTGCCCCATATCACAAGTCACGGAATTTTAATCAATTAAAATGGGTTTTAGGCCACCATTACAGGTAGAATTAGAACAGAGTTCCTTCAAAACATGTAAGGGAAGGGTGATGCACCGCTTCCCTGTCTCAGTTGTCGCCCTTGGTGCACAGAGGTTCTGTATTATTATTAGCAAGGTTTATTGATTTGCTGTGACATAGAATTGATACGTAAAATGGTGCTTGCTCAGCAGAAAAAAGCCATCTGTGACGCTCCCTTTGTAGCAGGCAAGGGAAAAAGGGCCCCCCCCCCCCCCCCCCAACAAGCCCTGGGTCATTTGGACAGCCAAGCGTCATTAACCGAATGGCAATTCTTACTACTGGCCATAAAGCCTACTGTGAACTTTATCAAAGCGGCTGGGGTCTCTGGCCCACTTCTGCCACTCCAGCCCCAAGCGGCTGGCTTTTGACAGATGAGCTCACCTGGCCTTTGCAAGCTAGAGAAGGGATCGCCAGAAGTGTCAGGGCGCCAGGGGGAGCTGCAGTGAGTTTGGAAGACTTTGTGAGGCTCAGGGTTACCCTGATCGGTGACCGTGACCTGGCCAGTCATTCCTCCCTTGGACCTGCACGAAGACGTGGCACCGCCCCGTTCCGGGTCTCGGAAGAGCCGCAGAAGAGCCATGCGTGCCCTGGCCAAAGGCCTCGCTGCGTCTTGATCTATTTAAAACTTTTTTCAACCGTCCCTTACTGTAGTCTTGGGACGGATTAACGATAAGACAAAGTAGAATAAAACACAGCATCCTAGTCAAATTCTTAACTGATCAACAGCAAACCCCAGTCAAACCTTAAAACACTGGAGAAATAAAAAGGTTTAGCCCAGCGCTGAAAAGCATCAAGGGATGGCGCCGGGTGAACCTCTCTGGGGAGTGTATCCCATAACCGGGGTGCCGCCACTAAGAAGGCCCTTCTCCGGGTAGCCACCCTCCTGATCTGCTCCAAGGAGGGCTCCGGGAGAAGGACCTCTGCCTCAGATCTTAAGAGGTGGGCAGGCACATATGGAAGGAGACGCTCCTTCGGGTAACCAGGCCCTAAGCCTCTAGTCCTGCATTCTAAAAACCAAAAAACCTATTACACTGATCAGTGCAAAGAAAAAGAAGAGAGCAGCAAGGCGGAGGCGGGGGGCCAGATCCCTCTTGCAGAAGTTCCAGGAAGTCAAAGAGAACTTTGGGCCTAGCTCAGTTATGCTGAGAGACTAACGGGGGAACACTGGGTCTGACCGGGAGGAGGTAAAGAGAAGGTGGAAAGAACGCACAGAAGGACTGCACAGCAGAGAGGAAAAGAAGTCAGACTTCTTCAGGGAGGAAGCCCACGAAGAAGCGTCTGCAGCGTTCGAAAGCGAGCTGCTCTGGAGCGCTTGCCAAGAACAGCGGCGTGTAAGAGCGGGCCCCGCAGATCTCAGTGGCGAGCCACGTGCGAGAAGGCCCCACATCCCCCGCCTGTCCACACGCAACCTGGCGCTTTGCACCCAAGTATTATGCTAGCGGTGCACTGTGTGACTCGCCCGAAAGCGGCTCACCCCGAAAGCAGCCATCCCAAAGAAGGTGGGTGTGGAAGTGACGCCGGAGCAGCGGCGACTCCTGAAGTCCCTTCCTGGAGAGCGGGACGCAGGGCTCCAGGGCTCCCGAGGGATGGACAGGCGGGATGTCCCGCAGAATGTGATGCCAGGCAGCTCCAGCACAGCCCGCCCAAGTTAGCAAGCCCGCGAGTAAGCAAGCAAACACCCACAACCCGTTAAAAAAATAGCGACAAGAACCAGACCACGGATCCTGCCTCATAACGCAGCTTCGCTCGGTTATTTTGACAAGAGCCACTGCAATATTTATGCACTAGATCGCATGAAGTCGGCCTGGCCGGTCTGAATGTGGCTCAGGGCACCAATCCGCTCAGAAATTCTCCTGCCCAAGGGCCATCAAAGGGAAGGAAGAGACCGGTGCAAAGACAGAAGTGGTTCCCCAGCCTTTCAGGGGGGGCAGGGGGCTGCACCAAAGAAGCTTCCAGCAAGTGGGGTGCATGGACGCTCCCTGCCCTATCTCCCGCTGGTGCCCTTGATGGGGCTGAAGACCTGCGTCCTCACCCCACCTCACCCCAAGGCTCCCTGACCCCTATGAGAAAAAAGGGATTATGCCACAGTAACGCCAGCTTCATACCACTCTCTCTTCTGGCCTCTCCTAAAGAGCCCCAGGAATTGTGGCCTGGGGCAAGGACCCCTCAGCAGTGGCGCGCTACTTGTATCCCGCCCGATGTTCTGGCCTACAGTTCCCATCATCCCTCACCACTGGTACGCCGGCTAGGGCAGAAGAGAGCTGTGGGCCACGAACGGCCCAATCCTGCGCTCACTGGCTCCAGTCCACAGGGCGGGGGTGCCCACGGATGGGGCCCTCACGGGCGTTCGGCTTTCTCCCCAGCTGCCCACGGCTCGCTCCAGCCCGGCCCCTTGGCTTACCTGTAGATCCTGTACCTGGTGGTGAAGCCCTGGCGGTGGCGCTCCATGAAGTCGGCATACTGGGGGGCTCGGTGGAAGGGTCCGCGGTCAGTGAGCAGCCAGTCCAGAGGCACTTGGCTGGAGGAGGCCGAGGGCGCATGCTGGTCGTGTGGGGCGGGGGCGGCGGCGGCGGCCGGTCCCCAGCACCCCAGAGCCAGGGCCAACACCGACGACACCCATGGGACCATCCGCCAGAGCCCGTCACGCCGAGCGTCGCGCTGCCACCTCATGCTTCTCCGGCTCAGCTGGCTTCTTCATTCTCCCCCTCCTCCTTCCCTCTCGGCGCTTCGTCAGGATTCCCGGCCCTGGGGAGGCACAAGAGAAGGCGGTGAACCGCGCGTGATCCAAGCCAGCCGCCGTGTGTGGCCCGCAGCTGCCTGCTCCAGCCCAGTGGCCTCCTGCCATTTTGAGTGAGATTTCCCAGAATTCCATCCCCTTGACCACATTCGGGCTGGCAAGAGCTGAAGTCCCAGATGTCGGGAGGGCCCCGGGGAGGGAAAATGGACTGCGATGGACGGACGGATGGATGGATGGCTGCAGTGAAGAAGCCCCGCTGAACGCCGGATCCAAGCAAGGATCGCCCAAGGGGGACTGGAGGCGAAAAGGCCGGTCGCCATTGCCTGGGGTAACAAAGACGCAAATGGAGTAACTGACCGTTCACAGACTTTCAGTGGCACACGAAGAGCGCCTGACCAGTTCTGCTAAATGATCAGAGTGGCGCTGAGCTCGGCTCCCCCCAGAAGAGGCATCCTGCTGCCTGCTCGGAGATGCCTCTGCAGGCCCTGCACCAGCGGGTGACTCGGGGGCAATGGCTCCCGAGGGGAGTGGCCATCCCTCGGCCTCCTCCTCGCCCTCTTGCCTCTTGGTCCCGAGCCGTCTGGGGCGAAGAGCTGCGGGAGAGGAAGGAGCGGCTGTCTACCATGCGGAGGAACATGATCCGCAGCGTGGGGCGTTACGGACCGCAAGGCAGCCGCGGCTGAGCACAGCAACGAGGAGACGGCTGCAACTGGGAGGCCTGCACGGAGCAAGAGCTGGCCCCAGGGTGGCCCTCCAGCTCTGCTATTCCCAGATCTGGAATTCCAGATTTCCAACAATCTGAGGATCCAGCAGATTGCCTGGCTTTTTCTGAATGGATTCTACAGATTCGAGGACAAGCTTTTCAGTTTTGTGGGTTGGCTGCACAACTTTGCTTTAGTGTTATTGCACCTTAGCAGCAACAGGAATTAGTGCAAGGAAAACACCCCCTGGTTTTCAAAAAATCCAGTTCTTTCAATGTGAGGATGACAGATTGCAAGACATCTGAGAATCTGTGAAAGATGTTAGAGACTTAAGAAAATTCATGCATCTGTAGCTGAAGATGCTTACATGCTTGAGCCCAAAATAGACGCTGCTGCCGGTAAGGATCACCGTCTTGCCGCAGGGCTTGCCAGCTGGGAACCCGACCTGGAGGAGTCCTACTGTGCAGGGGGAAGCGCTCTCCCCCCACCTCTGCTCCCATACGTGACCTTAGTAAGGTCTGGGTTGCGGGGCTGGGCCTGGCGTTGCGCCTTGAAGACCAGCTTGTGGCACAAACCTTGTCAGGGAAAACCTTTCATATGGCAGGGAGCAGAGCGCCCAAGGACCACCCCGTTTGCTCAGTGGATTGTGCAGCAGGCGTGCAGACCGGGCCTCCAGACAACCCCCGGCCCACGGATGTTGCTGGCGGAGCGGCGCCATTTGGGGACGCGTCCTGGCCAGGCAAGGGCGGCACGCAAGTTTCTTTTCTGGTGATGGGCCGAGGATGCGAGATTTCGGGAGCAAACCAGCAGGCGCACGGCAGGGCCCCGTTCCAGAGTCCCGCAGCCCCTTTCCACACGCATTGCGTATTCATGTGGTGGGGACAAATATGCCTCTGCCAATTATGGGTTATTTATCGATTAATTCTATTTCTAGCCAACCTTTTCCTTCCAAGGAACTCCAGGCGCTTTTACCTAATCCGTTTCCTCCTCTCAGGCTTATCCACACAGCGACCCTGTGGGGTAGGCTGGGGCGAGAGGCTATGACTGGCCCAAAGCCACCCAGTGGCTCCATGGCTGAGCGGGGACTAGAAGCTGGCTTGCCCGGGTCCCAGGCTTGCTCTCGCAACTGCTGCATCACAACAGCTTTCAGCCACTGATGCCAACACACCGGACTGCCCTGGCACTTGAAAAACTGGCTGCCCTGCTTCACGATTGCCCTATAAAGCAGGCTAGCCTCCGAATCCTATTATGGGCACGGGGCTAATGCAGAGCAAGAATAGCCGCTGTGGCTGCAGCCACCTGCCGTGCTCATGGCTCGCTTTTCCTGCCATCTGGTTCAGGTCACGTCTCGTGTGCGCTTAGCGTTGTCCGGCGTTTATCCACCCTGGGCTACAATGCAGTCGCGCCTCTACCAGCCAAGCGCCTGGCCAGCTATTCTCCAAGAGGCCGCTGCTCTGACCCCACAGCACTGGGCTTTTTGGAGACCCAGTGCTGTCGGCCCCCACGCTGACCCACGCACCCCACGAAGGAAGGCCTGCTCTGTCCTCAGGTGCCTGTCACCGAAATGAAATTTCAGTGGAAATGAAACGCTGCGTGAGGGCAACAGGAATGAACTGTCAGGATCGCGGCGCCCGTTGGCAAACCAGAGCGATGCGTTAAATGAAAAACCAAACACAGGCAAGCAAACGTAAGCAAATAACCAAGTGGAAAGGGCACCCCGCACTTCTGGTATGCGGCAGGGTCCCCCCCCAAAGCCCAGGACTCTGCCCCACAGCAGGGCCAGGGCAGAGGCTGGTCCCACGCGTCGCCAGGTGGTGGAGCAAGCCCTGATGCCCCTGCGAGGTCACTTCCCGCCCGCCGAGCAGGACGCGGGCTCCATCCTGGATGAGCCGCAGGCCGGCATCCTGGCTGTGCTGGGAGAGATGCGTGGTGCGTGGGCCCCACATGCTGCCGGGGCTGGGTGGGCAGCAGCTGCTCCGTGCGAGGAAAGCCCAGGGCCTGGCCAGTCTTCCTTCGCTGCTGGCACGATGGCCGCGGGCCGGGCACACGAGGGGCCAGGCCTCCCCCTCTTCCCATCATGGGTCTGGAGGCTCATCAACATGTTCCCAAGCTCATGACCTTCCGCTTGGCGACCGGGGGCTGTTGCTCTCGATGGCCTCCTTTCCTGCTGGATCGGGTCCCCCCTCCTTGCCCTCTGTGGCAAAGACCGCCCGCCCCAGGGGCATTTCGAATCGTCCTCCAGAGGAAGGCTGCGTGTCCTCCCAGAGGGCCTTCCGTGGAGGGCCCATCTGGGCTCAGCGTGACGGGGCTCCTCCTTCCTTCCCTTTATGCTTCATGATAAAAATGGCGCTGCTTTGGGCCACTGATCTGGGCCTGTGCCGGGCTTCCTCTACCGTGACACGAGCCCCCGCCTGCAAGGTGCCCGGCATCCCCCAGAGTTGGCTCCGAGCCTGCTGGGTGCAGCCTGCTGAGCTCAGATGTGGTCCTGGGAGCAGGCCCCCTCGCCGTCGGGGCACCCGCCCCCTCCCCACCTGTGTGGGGGTGGGCTCCTTGCCACAGCAGTCTGCGATTGCACCACATGGTGCCAGTTAGGGATGTCCAGGAAAGTTGCTTTGACTCGCAAACAAGCAAGAGCATCCCCTGCAACCCCCGAAGCGAGTGCAAGAATTCGCGCGTCAAAGCCACTCACCAACCACCCACGTCCCACACCCCATTTGCAGGAGCGTCCCTTTCTCTCTGAGTTGTGCACGTTCCCACATGCCAGTTTGACAGCAGCCCCACTTCAGTGGGTAAGCTGAAACCCCTTCGGACAATCACACCGATCTGGGGAGTCTTCCACAACGTTTGAGGAAGTCTTCCTGTCTCCACAAACCGGGCAGCAACCGCAAGCACAAACGGAAACGGGGCGCAAGATGAGCCTTCGGCTGATGCCTGGGGAAGGCTGGTGAGCCTGGGGACCATCTGCAGGCGCTGGGGCACAAGACTGCCATGGACCCGGGGGCCTGGCTGCTGCCTCTGCTGTTCCAAGTTCTTGGGGGTTGGATCCCCCGTCCAACTCTGTACTGGGTGAATATAGGATCCGGAAGCACTCCCTCCCTCCCTCCCTCCCTCCCTGCCGCCACCACCACCACCACCACCACCACCTAACTGAAGTGCAGCGCTGCTCAGTCTAAGTAAGTCTACTTTGTTTAAAATGTGGGACAGCCGTCAAGCACGGAGTCCCAGGGCTAGAGAGACAGTGGCAGCTCGCTGGGCCACCATCGGTCGCTGGCAAGCAAGGAAGGCAGAAGGTTTACAAGCTGCAGTAGATCTGAAGCTGCGAAGAACCGGTTAGTTGACAGGGAGGCTGCAGAAAGCTGGGTGTGCCTCACTGCTCTCCATCTGCGGAGGAAAAACGCCCCGGCTTTTTGACGGCCTCGCTTCGATTTTCATCAGACCGGGGGCTTCACCGCATCACTTTGGTTTGCATGTGGCCCAGCTGTACTTTCTGGACAGCTTCTATTAATTGAGAAAGGCCCACATAAAGTGTCAGTAGCCACTAACAAGAGGGAGGACTTCAGAACTTCCCTACAGGGAAAAAGAGCCATTATCTTTCCCCTGCCAATCCATCCTAGCTAATTTTTAAAAGAGCCTTAGAATTTTAATTCTGATTTTCATTTTGCCTCACGAAGGGGGAGACACTAAATCCTGACCCCTCTAAGGATGCCCTATTTTAAAATTCAAGCTATTTTTATTCTTAAAGCCCAATCTGCTTACTTATTTGATTAATAAATTACTGTCATTTTTATTGTTTCATTTGTTTCCATTGTTCCTACTTATTTCTGTTTCCTATTGTTTCAAGTAGAAACCCAGATGGTTCTCTTCTGTTTGTAACTCCTGCTATTACTGAAGAAATGAATGGCTGAGTCCCAAAACAGTTCCAAATGTTATACATTAATTCCTTGCTGCTTCAGAAGTAATTCAGCAAGTTTAAGCCAGAAATGTTGCTATCCAGAAAAGTAGAATGACTAGCCAGCTTGGACTGGCAGAGGAAGAACAAAGAGCTACTTTTCTGGGCTGGCTGGGCGGCTGGCTGCAGTGGCCCACCCTTGTTCTGCTGAGCCGTGCGCTCGCCTGCATGCCATTCCGATCACCGGTGGTAACCAGGCGAGTCCTTGCACGCATCAGTCTCTGGCTCCTGTGCGTTACGGCCTGCCGGCAGACCTATCAAAGGACTGGGCAACCGCACCGAT